CCCGCCAAGCCCTTGCTTGGTGCTTCTGTTCAGGGCCACTGAGCTATGATAGCAGTGGGCCTAACTGACACATGTGAGACCTTGGACAGGCCTGTTGTGTAACCTGCCCCTTGGTTTGGTGGGGTGTGGTGTTTCCCAGCCCATCCCCAGGTAGCCAGCCCAGGAGCGGAGGGAGAGGCAGTCACATGAGGCCTCCTGCCCTGGGAATGGGAACGGAATGTCCACTCCTCACCCTCAGGCTGGCTGCTGACTGGGGATTGGCTCTGGGAGGCCAACCTTCTGATTGGCTGTTCTGAAGGCGGGGTTCTTGTGCTTTGGCACCCCCTTTGTTCCTGGGGCCCCGTGAGGCTCCCGCCAGCCTGGGGCCTTGGCTGCAGCCTTTACTGAAACTGCCTGTTGAATAACTAATGGGTCTTGGATCCCGGCTGAGTCAGATCATGCTGCCCCCACACGCCGGGCACCATGCTCTCTCCCAGAAGGCTTCAGCTGCACCTGGCTTGGGCTAAGGGGCTGTCTGGAGGCGGATGGCCTGTGTCCTGACTGGCTGGAGCCCTGCTCCTCCTGTACCTTCAGGAGCACCGCCCTGGTTCTGGGACGTTAGCAGCAGCCTGTTCCCATCCTAACTGGGTGATGCTGTCTGATGCCAGCAGCTAGGGGGAGGAGTCTCTCCCTTGAGGGGTCTGGGCCACAGGGGTAGAGCTGGGCTTACAGACTGGGTCCAGCATCCACGCCATCAAGTGGCCTCCCTGGCTGGCTCGGGTACGCCTGGCCAAGAGTGACACTAACCACACAGATCTTGTGCAGGGGACTGCTTCAGTGTCCCTGGTGGGTGACCAGGGATCTTTCTTCCTAGTCAGCCCCTCCTGTCACAGGGCCCATAGACCCCACCCGGGGAGTGATGCAGAGGCCACCACTAAGGTGGGTGGTGGCAGGCTTGGCCTTGGTGTGACTGCAAGAGGCACAGAAGGAGGAGAAGCAGTACTGTGCAGTTAGGACTGTGGACTCTGGAACCAAACAGCCAGGGCTCGATTCCTGGCTCTCTCAGTTGCCAGCTGTGTGACTTTGGGCAAATGACCTAGCCTTTCTGAGCATCAGTTTCTTCATCTATTAAACAAACAAACCAACCCAGGAAAATAACTGCATCTACACCAGAAAGGGTGGAGGCACCCAAATGTGTGGTGACTGAGCAGTCCTCCCAGAGAGGGAGGGGGAGGCTGTCGGGCCTCCGGGAAGAGTCACCCAGGAGGGCTCCCAGGGACTGGGATGGAGGCGGCAGGAGGCCCGGAGGCACAGGAGGGACAGAGTGGCCACTGGAAGGTGCTTGTTAAAACACCAGCATAGAGGCCTGGGTCCTGTCCTGAAGCAGGAGAGGCACTGAAGGCCAGGTCCCCCCACGGGGTCATGAGGCTGTCCCCAGGATAGGGCAGCTCCCCTGGCACTGGTTTGAGCATAGTGCTTCCGGGAGAGAGGCATGTGCAGGTAGCAGGGATGCGTGGTGTTAGGGGTGGCCTCCATTCGACTGTCCTGTGCCTCCCTCCCTCCTCCTCCTGCCTGCTGTCACCAGAGGGGAGTAGGAAAGGGTGGCCTGCATAAGCTCCCCTCACTTTCTGTCTTACTCCAACAGACACTGAGCCAGCAACCATCCAGTGGAATTCTGAGAGCTGGAATGGTTGAGGCCAAGGAGGTGGCTGGATCTCGAGCTGCCTCTCCAGGGCCCCTGGGACTTGTGTGGCCTTCCTGTGTTCCTGGCCCCTCACCCCGCTCTGGGCACTCCTCCCAGTCCCAGCAGGGCAGTTTGCCTGCGTGCTCTGCTCTTCCACAGAGGGGCCAATGGAAGCCAGGAAGGGGCACCACCTGAGGTGGCAGAACACAGAACAGGTCGATGTCTGGTCATCCAGTGGCTGGGGGTTGGGGAGGAGGAGCGCACAGGGGATCCAGGCCTTTCTGACTAACCAGGGTGCAGTCCTAGACCTGGTCAGGGTGCTGGCCTCACTGATTCACCTTCCAGCTCTAAAGTCAGCGGCTGCAGGGACAGCTCTGGGCTGCACCTCCGTGTTGGTGCCTGACGTGGAGACTCCACGGTGGAAAGTGGATTCCTTGGGTGGTGGGGGTGGCGCTGCCTCGTCTCTGGAGCCTGAGTTTCCTCACCATGCACAGAGTGACATCTGTCTCTTTCCCCCACGTTGTGACATAGCCCCGGTCATGCCTGCAGGCTGCCATCTTCCGCTGGACCCCTGCCCTCCCCGGCGTCGGTGGGCTTCCTCAGCACACTTAGAAAAGACTTTGCTGGCTGGGACCCAGCAGTGGGGCCTGGCTGCAAGTGTCCCTCCAGGCCCCTAGCCGAGTTCTCTGACCCGTGTGCTTGGGTGGCCAGAGCAGCTGCTTTTCTCAGCTCATCTCTAAAGTGCTTCCCTCCTGGGCAGCCCAGATGGAGTCACAGATGTCACAGATGAAGACCATGCACATGATGGACAGCCCTGGGGTCACAGTGCCCCTGCTCCACTGGCTGCTCTTACTTGCCCATGTGGGTTTCCTGCCTGGGCCATGTCTGGCCATGTGGCTCCCCTGCCTCGGCATGGCTGGTGGCGACTGTGTTGGAACTCCCCCTCATTGGATGCCTTTTGCCTGATTGTACCTGGCCACAGCTTGAAGGGATAGGGCCTGCTCCGTGGCTGGAGAGGTGGGTGAGCTCCCGTCCATCAGGGTGTGTGGGGCAGGGTGGATTAACCAGTAAACACAGTACACACCATACCAGCTTACTTGTGCTTACTTACTAATCTGTAGTGCACGATTTCACTTGGGTTTTACCACATCATGTGAAATTGTGCAGTCTGGATTAGTAAATAAATACGAGTAAACCCGTGCATACCTTCCTTATCGGGTAATCCTTCCCTGGGGGTAGTCCCACACTGTGGGGCCTGTGTGCTTCCTCGCGGGTTCCTCCGGAAGCTGCACCCTTACAGATTCAGAACCATGTCACACAGTGACACGCCACCCTCTTGTGTTACATCAAGCACTCAGCCTCCTTATATCAGCCTGACTGGGTCACATAAGTGTGGCCGGAGGATTGAAGCAACTGGACAGGCATCGCTGTGGGGTACATAGGAGCCTCATGAGGAGCCGCCTCCCACTGCAGGTCCTGGCCACCTGAGGCTTGGAGTCCTCAGATGCGCCCCCTGGGTGGGGTGAGGGTTCCTGGCAGGTGCACAGTGAGGTCAGAAGACTCCTAGGCTCCTTGACACATGGGCAGTCAAGGGCCTTAAATATAAATGTGGGCTGATAGACAACTGCTGAGCGCCGTCCTCACAGCTGATGCTCAGGGAGACAGGTGCTTAGGGAGAAGGCGGCGACTGTGCAAGACAGCGCCTGAGCGCAGGAGCCGTGTGTTACTATTCCAGAAGGTATAGCATCACAACTGAGCAAAAGGGAGCCTCTTGGATGCTGTGAGGAGGGGGACACCAGGAACCCTCAGCTCAACAGGGAGGACACTGTGAGCAGGGACGGGGTTGCAGAGTGGGTGGGTGCTGGATTGACTGAGCCCCCGTGGGCACCGAGGGAAGCAAAGGGCTGATGGACGTGGGGTTTGTGCTGGGCGGTGGGAGTAGCTGCAGGGAGGCGGGTGGGCCAGGGTTGAACTGCGGGGCGGGATAGGGTGGGTGAGCCTCATTGTCCTAATGAATACTCGGGATGTTTTTTGGATATGATGGGAAGCCAGAGGAAGGTTTTAAACCAGGGAGTGATGAAATCAGATTCGCATTCTAAAGGAAAAATTCTGGCTGCTGCTTGGAAAATAAGCCTTGGGGGCAAGATTGCATGCTGGAGGTGGCACTGGCAATGTGCGGGGGCAGAAGCCAGGAGCTTGGCCTCGGGCTGGCGGGTGGAGGTACCCGGAGACCCTGGACGTGGGGCAGATCAGAGCTGGAGGATTAGTGGTGTGTAGTCGTGGTTTAAAGCCATGGGCTTGGACCAGCTTCTGTTCTCTGGGATGATAAGCGTGGTCCTTCCTTTGGTGGGGCATTCTAGAAGCAAGGGGGCCTTGCTTAGCTGGTTTCTGGAATTCTGTACACTGGGTGGCTTCCCAGTCTCTGTTCCTCGCCCTGGGTGGCTCTGCCCTCTCACTCTCAGGGAGGACTGCCCTAGTAGATAACTTTCCCGAGAACTTGCTCCATGTAGGTGCTGCTCTGAACTTTAGTTCTACCGACCCCTCACCTACTCACAGGGAGGCACCCTTGTTGCCCTACTTCACCCATGTGGGGCCTGAGGCCAGGAGAGGTGCTCAGAGGTGGTTACGCCCTGAGGGCTGGCGTGGATGAGCTGGAAGCACCCCGTTACCTCCGGCAGGGCTGCATCTAGGAGCCAGCCTTCCTCCACCAAGTGGTTGACACTCAGCCTCCAGGCTTCCTCTCGTCCCTTCTGCCCATAAGTAGGAACATGCTTGTCACCTGCTGTGGAAGTGATATGGCCCTGACCCTTCTGCCTTACGTCCTTCTGCAGGTCCTGTACATCGGCTGCAGAAAGAGACGGCAGTGGTGAGTAAAGGGTGGGCCAGCTCATGAACTCACGCTTCCCTGCAATCCACGCACGTGCCAGGGGATCAGGAGACAGAGTTCAGGGGCGGCCCCATCAGAGGCACAAGTAAGCCTTGGGGCAAGGCATGGTGCCTGCACCCATGTGTCCACGGGCCATCCCAGGTCCTCCTGTGTGTTCCGTGGTTAAGGACAGACCTTCCGGTCCCCTGGTGGAGGCTGGTCTGGGCTCGTTTGCCACACAAGCTCTTTCTTCCTGTCCCATGACACATGCTGGGGCAGACAGAGCCGCCAGGACAGGGCACAGAGCTGAATGGCAAGGGTGGGTCTAGGGATATGGAAACCGCACCGTGGTATGAGGGGGAGCGTAGCAGGGCCAGAGTCTGGCAAGCCTGCAGCTGCCCGAGGCCACCGTGCTGAGGACAGTGACCAGGGTGCGGCCTGCTGGACTTGCGCTGGGGAGTGGCTGGGAGTAGGGGGAGGAGTTGCAGCCAAAGCACATGTGTGTTTGCCTTTGCAGATACAAGTAAGAGGGAGAAGCAATACCAGGCCCACCGGGCCTTCGGGGACCGCAGGGACGGTGTCATCAGTGCCCGCACCTACTTCTATGCCAGTGAAGCCAAGTGTGATGCCCACATGGAGACGTTCCTGCGCTGCATCGAGGCTTCAGGTGGGGTCGCCATTGTTTGCTGGCCATGCCTAACCTGGTGGGCTGACCCCAGGGTACGTGATGAATTTAGGGCTAGGGCCAGAGGAGCTGGCTCAGAAAACTGCTGAGTGCTCAGGGCTTCCATTCTGTCTGTTGTAACTCGAGGAGGAGCAGCCCTGCCAGATGGTTGTGGAGGTGACCTGGGGTGACGGGGGGTGGGGGGTGGGACTTGGGTGGCTTGGTGCAGCTGCTGCTTACACTCTGGCCTTGCCCACGTCTAGCCTCTTCCTGAGGAGCCCAGGCTGCCTCCAGGCAGGTACCTTCTGCCCCCGCCCCCTGCTGTAGCTGTGTCCCAGTCACCATGAGCACAGCACGCAGAAGTGGAGACTTGGGTAAAGGCTGCTGGAGGGCTGAGTACCCCTGTCACGGGGAGTGCGGTTCTGACCAGATGCGCGCAGTTTCCGGAGAGCTGGACTGGTCAGCAAGCTGGAGCACAGTTCCGAGACGACTCTGGCAGCCTCTGGTGGGGAAGCAGCTGCTGCAGGAGGTTGCTAGGGTCTCAGCACTGCTTTAGTGTCCAGAAACAAGCCAGGTGGCAGCACAGCCCCAGCAGGCCAGCCCTGGCCAGCGGTCCTCTCCTTCATGGCAATGGTGTCCCCCACTTCCTGAGCGCTGAAAGAACGGTAGGAGCGATGCCTCCTGAGAGAGGTGCTGGGGAAGTCCTAAGCACTCAGGCAGACGCTTGGCCCAGGCCCCGTGGTGGCGCGTACCCTTGGCCATGCCAGGCATCTTCTCCTGCCTCCCTGCCCTGCTCTGCCTGGGGCAATGAAGAGGAGGGCCACACAGAAGCAAATGCTGAGGAAAATCCTGCAGGGGGTTGTCCAGCACCCTCCGTGCTCCAGCCTATGTTCAGCATTCCCCACATATGGGCAGCCAGTGGTGCTGGTGGTGTAGGAGGGGAAATTGAGGCATAGGCAGGTCTCTCTTTGCCCACTGCCTGACCACCTGCCTAGACTTGTGGGACAAACAGAAACCCTGCCGAGTTGGCCATCCCCATCTCAGCAAGGGGGTCTCCCAGGCAGCTGTGTTTGAGGGCATTTCTGGGGCTGGGTGGAGTCTCAGTAGGAGACCAACTGTGGGGCCGGCAGCCTCCACCAGCACAGGCTTCTGCTTCCCCTGCCCACCCAGGTGTCCATGTCCCTGCCCATCTCAGAAGCCCTTAGGGCTCTTTCTCTGGCTTCTTATAGGTGGAGCTAGCGATGATGGCTTCTCAGCCATCAAACTCACTGCAGTGGGGAGGCCTCAGTTTCTGGTAAGTGCTGGAACCTTCCACCTGCAAGAGCTTGTGGCTGCATTAGCATTAAATGAAAGCATGTGTTCCAGTACCTTAGAAACCGCAAGCCCTGTCATTGGCTGCCTCCTTAGGGGCTCAGGGGCTGTGCTGGGGGTCCTGGGGCAAGGAGCTGGGCATGCACCCAGGAGGGGCGCTCAGGCCTGCATTTGCAGCTGCAGTTCTCAGATGTGCTGACCAAGTGGAGACGGTTCTTTCACCAAATGGCTGCAGAGCAAGGGAAGACTGGGCTCACTGCCATGGACATGAAGCTGGAGGTGGCCGCGCTGCAGGTGGGTGTTGGACAGAGCGCTTTCCAGGCTCACCGTGGGGGCTCAGAGAAGAGCCCCTGCCCAGGGAACACTGGCCAGGTGGTTGGGTTCAGGGTACTGCTCAAGAGCCTGAAGTCTGCCTGATTGCCCATGTCTGCTTGGGTTAGCCAACAGGAGGAAAAGGGGCCCCATTTGCACTGAACTGAGACAGGAGAGGTGATGGGAGAGGGGTTAAAGGGAGGTGGCCCTGAAGGAGCAAAGTATGATGGGAGCTACAGTGATGGGAATGGACACCTGTAGACAGACCAGAACTGGCCCATCTGTGGGACAGAAACACAAGCTAGAGATAAGCCCTGTTTTCTCTGACAATGTTATATAAAGTCAAAACTAGCATCATAAGCCAGTGGGAGGAGTGTGCACAAAATGTTAGTAGATAGGGCTGGGTACTATGGGCAGGCCCTGAGAAGAAGACCCTAGTGTGACCGATGCCGTCTCGCTTCTCAAGGAAAGTGTGGCAAAGATGGGCATCGCGAGCAGAGCTGAGATCAAGGACTGGTTCACGGTTGAGACCCTGGGTGTGTCTGGGTAAGAGCAGACCGCAGCTGAGAAGAGGGAGTGTGCTGCCGGCTGCAGGCTGGACAGAGGCCCTTCTGGCAGGTCCTGAGGTGCTCCTAGGCTGGGTCAGCCATGACTCAGTGTGAGCCCCGGCTTGTCTCCCAATTCTGGTCTCCCTCTTGAGAGCATGGGCCTTGATGGGGGGAGGGGGGTGACAGTACGGAGGAACTGCTTCCCTGAGACACACAGAACAGCAGTTGAGGGAGCCTGGGTTGGGGAGGGGCAGCTGGCTTGCTCATGCATTGGATAGTCCAGGCTCCACAGTGGGCCCGAGTGCCCCTAATCCCAGCAGGGCTCCTTACAAAATTATTCAGGCCACAGCAAAGGGTGAGAGGTGAAGGAGGCCAGGGAGGCTGAGATGCCAGGCTGAGGCTGGGGCCAAGGTGACCCAGGCCTGACCCCTCTACCAGGGGCCCCCAGTGGAATTAGAGAGGTGGGCTCAGGGCAGTGCAGTGGGGCAGCTGGGGTGCCAGAGCCAGCAGTGTGGCAGCAGCCTTGGCATGCTGTCCCCTTGCCTGTGGCCCTCAGCTCGCCCACTGCCATCTCCTAGCCCCATCTGCAGCGGCCAACTTGGACTCGCTGTGCCCCCGCCTTACCTCCCACCCTGTACACGGGGTGTCACCAGTTCATGTGCGGCTGTGTGTGTTTATCACGGCCATCCTGGTGCAGGAGTGATTTGTTTTAGTTTTCATTTTCAAACAGAGTACAGTATTTATTTTTCTTTTAAAACTGTATACAGAGGTGGGTTTTGTTGTGGTTGGAATTGAGGGTGCTCTTTTAGGGAGCGGGGCTGGTTTGGGGGCCTAGGTAAAGCTGGGGACCAGACCTAGACACCCTCCCTATGCCGCCAAGCCTGCCTCCCAGCTGATGGTGTCTTCTCACCTCAGTACTGTGGACCTGCTGGACTGGAGCAGCCTCATTGATAGCAAGACCAAGCTCTCCAAGCACCTGGTGGTCCCGAACCCAGAGGTAATCTTCCCACTCTGCTCCACCAAGTGTCACCTCAGCAGGCACTGTTCTGACTAAGTCTTAGAAATTTAGGTCACCCCATGTGTCCTGCTGCCGGCCCTGGGCCGGAGACCACTAGTGCTTGAGTGCTTGGTGGGTCCAAGACCACACAGAGCTGGAGTGCCACAAGGGGCAGCCACCAGGTTGAGCCAGGAGTCTTGGAGGCCCTTCCTAGGATGGTGTCCAGTGATTGATCATCACGTACCAGGTAACCCCAAATCTCAGTGGCCTGAAACCACAGCCATCCTTTTATCACCCTTCATGGTGCTGGGTTGATGGGGCTCAGCTGGGCGGTTCTTGAGCAGGGCCTCACAGATGGTTACACTCAGATGGTTGGTGGGGGTGGCTAGGGTCATCTCAGAGACTCCT